GGTGCTACAACCACCTGTGGCTCAATCCTGCACCCATGGGTGCAGCGAGGCGCCAGGCAAGGGAGGCAGGTGTCTGCTGCAAATCCGCAGCCCCGGGTCCCCACGCCAGCACCGAGCCATACCCTGCTCCAGCAGGAGCCACCCGCCGAGGAGGGCCGCGCCAGCATCTACCGCTCCGTCATCATCAACACCTCCAAAGAGATGATGTGCTTCAGCGACTTCCCCATCCCCGACGACTTCCCCAACTACATGCACAACTCCAAGATCATGGAGTACTTCCGCATGTACGCCCAGCGCTTCAACCTGCTCCCACACATCCGCTTCAGGGTGAGAGACTGGGGGTCCCGGGGTGGTGGCATCAGGGCTGGGGGGCACAGGGTGTCTGACACCCGCTGTTCTCCACACCCAGACCAACGTGTGCCGCATGGCCAAGCGCCCTGACTTCGCCACCACGGGCCAGTGGGAGGTGGTGACGGAAAGCGAGGGGAAGCAGGAGGCAGCTGTCTTCGACGCTGTGCTGGTGTGCACCGGGCACCACAGCGAGGCACACCTCCCACTCAGCACCTTCCCAGGTACCACCCCATGCCCCCGTGCAAGGAGAAACCCCAGAAAGCTGGGCCACAGGAACCGCTGTGCCACTGCTGCCAGCTCACCTCTCCCATGGAACAGGCTGGAGCACACAGTCACCAGGGTCTGGCGGGATGGGACAGACCCTGACTGCTCCTCTGCTCCCAAAGCCTGGCACCGGGCAGGAATTGCAGGAGGATTTTGGGATGGGAGCATGGACATCTCAAGTCCAAGCCCTGCCCAAAGCCGGAGCAGGACGCTCAGGGCCACACTGAGCATCTCCCAGGCTGGAGACGCCACCACCCCTCTGGGCACCATCCCAGGGCTGCATCGCTCATGTTGGTCACGCTGTTCCTAGCCTGTTCCCAAAACACACCACCATCTAAGCAGGGGGTCAGCCACCCCCTGCCCCATGTCCCTGCCTGGCGTGGCTTCCCTCTCTCTTCCAGGGCTGGAAAAATTTGAGGGCTGGTACCTGCACAGCCGGGACTACAAGAGCCCGCAGCCCTTTGTGGGGAAGCGGGTGGTCGTGGTCGGCACCGGAAATTCAGGCATCGACATCGCGGTGGAGCTGAGTCACATGGCCAAGCAGGTGTGCTGGGAGAGCTGCCGGAGCTGGGGTGCTTATTACGTGGACCCCGGAGGGCACCAAGCAACCCCCTGCCATCCTCCCTTCAGCACCACAGCCAGCCACAAGCACCATCCCCCCTCGATGGGGGTGGCTGTTGTGGTCCCAGCAGCTGTGCCAGCATCCCTGTCCATGCAGCACAGCGGGGACTCGGCTTGGTCCTGAGGATGCTGCCACCCCGCCACCTCCTCTCTCCTTCCTCCCAGGTCTTCCTCAGCACCAAGCGTGGGACCTGGGTGATGCACCGTGTGGCAGATGGTGGGTATCCCTTCGACTTCTCCCACATCAGCCGCTGCCTACAGTTCCTCCAAAGCCTGCTGCCTCAAAACATTGGCAACTTCATCCTGGAGAGGAAGGTGAACGCCCGCTTCAACCACGCACTCTATGGCCTCCAGCCCCAGCACCGGTGAGGGTGAGCTCCCTGGCAGCACCGCGGGGACCTGCCCCAGCACTGCCTCTCCCACTGCCTGGGCCCCACACGAGGTCTGTTTTTGCCTTCCAGGATCTTTGACCAGCACCCGACCATCAATGACGACCTGCCCAACTGCATCATTTCGGGAAGGGTGCTGGTGAAG